CAGAGTTCTTTACTTTTAAGCACCAGTTCATTAAAATTCTGGGAGTTTAATTCTACTGAAGCACTAGGTTCAGATTTTTCACTTGATCCTCCCGTTGTCTTTCCACTTAAACGGTCTTTCAACAGAGCCTTTATCTGTACAGGACCAATAGTCACATTACTAATACACGAATCCAGTTTTGCAAGAGCATTATATGACCAAGCGACAACAAAGGATAATCGCATCCTATGATACAGAATTCTATTCCAACCGATTTTACAAACAAAGAAATCAACTAACAAAACAATAAGAGTTTGAACACAAGATTATGACGAACCTGTTGGAGTGCAAATTCTGCAACGGGTTTCACATCCCTTGCTCCCTGATAGTCAACTGGAGGCTTTCCAGGTACAAACACCTTTATTGTTGGAAATCCTCTGATCCCGTATTCCTATAGAACAATCAAACATCCCGACAGTCCCACACAAAATTAACATAGTAAACAACCTGAAATATTCATATTGCCTTGTACAAATTCGACAAGACTATGACCAAATTACTTTCAGGCAGAGGGGTGTTGTTAATCTACTTTTGCTACTTCAAACTTAAATGTCAAAATTAGTAATTACAAGAGTAACTATGGGAAACCTGAGCGAGGGACTTGTGCGCATCAGCATCAAGAGCTGCCACGGTAGCCACACCCTTTAAGACAGTAGCTGCCTTCTCCCATATCGGTGTTAGAGCCTGACAATGCCCGCACCATGGTGCAAAGAATTCAACCAGAACAACTCTGTTCGAGTCCAGAACCTGCCACCGTTCCAAAGGATTCAGTTCAAGAAAATACTAGTCATATTTTGGTCTGATCCAATGTTTTACTGATCGCCTTCGATGTTCACAAACAAAGATAACAATCGCATCATATCCAAACAATTTCTTGATAATGTAACACTATACTAGGAATCAGTAGTTAACCCAATAATCATCGGAACTTACTGATCACATTTCTATTGCTAGGAAACGAAAATAAGTAAATTTATCAAACAATTTACACTCAGTGCAAAATTGACTAACCTTTTCCAAAACAAATATTCCCATGAAGCTAAAAGCCGGATCCAAAAACTAATAAGCTCATTAAGCAGTAAAATTCTAAAAGCGATACAAGAAAGCACTTTGCTTTCAACAGCAATAAAATAGCTTCTGAATTGAAAAAGCCAATCAGCACCCAAGTGCTTTTCAATCAAAAAGGTGACGAATTTCAATAGATTAGTGCAAAAAAACTGAAAATCTGAAAAGGGCACGTTGCAATTACTGGTGAAGTTTGAACATTTACCTTGGACTTGAAGTTGGAAGGAGTTAGCTGAAGAACTGGCGATGAAGGTCCGTACAGTGCATCACAGACATTGAAGACGAAGAAAAACAGGAAGAAGATGATTGGGACTGCTCGAAATTGGTTCTCTCTCATTCTCTCTCTCTCTCTCTCTCTCTCTCTGAGATTTGTTGTGCGAATCAGTGAAGAAACCTCTCGAGGCACAGAGACAAACCCCGTGTCTTCTCTTCTGGGCTGGGCGAGCTACGTGTGAGGGCCAACCAGAGAATTACACGTCAGCTGGCCATGGTTTCTCGTTGAAATTTTATTGGTGTATTTTGTTCTTTATTATTTGTTCGTAGGAGGTTGGACCAATAAAGGAATAATAATGTATTATCAGATGAATTCGCATAAAAAATTAATTAAATGCTATGAATCTATGCTCTCTGGTTAGGATTTGGGTAATGGATAGTCATTTTTTTTGTTAGTACATCATTATTTTTACGCTAGGGAGGGAAGGAGAGTTTGATTAAACCCACAATAAGCAGTCTAATTTGGTATCAAATTTGCTATCCACGAAATTCAAACATAAGATCTCTCAGTTCAAAGTAAAGAGGAATATCATCTCTTGAATTATTACTCAAGTTGAAATTGCCTTCCTTAAACTATTTTTTTGGTAAATTGACCATCTAAATTATTTGAAATTAACCAATTAACCAATTAACCTTTTGTCGTTAGATTTCATCCACTATTTAGTCAAATTCAAGGGCATATTAGTATTTTCATCATCAATTGTTACTTGTTAGCTATAACCAGTTATGACATATGAACACAAAATAATTCAAACATATGAGATTAAACTTTACATTGATGCTTATGATGGTTAACTGTGGTTTTGTTTAAATTTCTTCACTCAATTATAAATGAGTTTGTTCTTTTGTTTTTTGGTAACGTTATTAGGGAGTTTAATTATTTTTCTTTTAATAAACCATTTCTAAGTATAGGTGATTAGGTCAATTCCAAAAATTGTTTTCCGTATTGAATTATTTGCTAAAAATATCTATTTCCTACATTTAGTTTGTGATTCTCACATATATATTCAGTAAGCAATTTGACCATACTCGATAAAAAGATAACAATGGCACCCACAAAAGATCAAGAAAATTAAAAATTAAACATCAACTATTCATTCAATATCTTTATATAATGAAAGATGACTATAACTTCAAGCAATCCAAAGGGCATTAGAGCACATTTAAATAAAAATATGAATTGATCATAATCTCCATAAAATTAGTTAGTTTTTGACAATTGATGAATGAGATCAACTGCCTGAAATGCTCTCAATCCTTCTCCCACACAATGCCCTTATAATCATGAACGACAATGGCAGCCGTGGGATCAACCACCAACTCATTTTTGACGAAAATCACAATCCAGTAATTGATGCCCCCATCGCCACCTCAATGTCGCCCCAAACGATTGTCGATAGCATGGTACTAATCTTTCCCTATTCCTTCTTTTTTTTTTTTTTTTTTTTTTTTTGCTTTTTTGTTTTTTCCTTTGAGTTTTTTTCTTCATATGTTACTTTATTTGAGTAACCACTATTAAATTTAAGTTTTAAATCGTTGATTTCAAGTATTTAAATATGAATTATAATAGATTTTGCAGGGAAAAATATATCTTGAAGAACATGAATATAATAGTTTATTGTTATGGTAAGAGAAATAAAATATAAAATAAATAAAGAGGAAGAGAAATTTGAAAAAAAAGAACATGAATATAATAGTTTGTTGTTATGGTAAGAGAAATAAAATAACTAAAGAGGAAGAGAAATTTGAAAAAAAAAAAACATGAATATGTTGTTGTTATGGTAGGAGAAATATAAAAAAAAAATATCTAAAGAGGAAGAGAAATTTGAAAAAGAAGGGATCGGTACAACTATAGCGATTTATTTAACAATATTGTCGCTACCTGCCTAGCAATAGTTGTGTTACAAATCGGTAGTAAAGTATCGAATGTATTCTTTTCTATTTTATTTATTTATTTTCTGCTTCTTCTTTTTCCATTGAACATTTTTTTTCTTCCTACGTTACTTTGTTTATATTCAAATACCTTTAGGCTTAGATTTATATTCTTGTTTTTGAGTGTTTTGATATAAATTATAAGAATTTTTTCACCGAAAATACATTTTTTAGAACATGAAGAGGATAGTTTAGTGTTATGGTAAGAGATTTATTATTAATTTATTTTTTATTTTTATAAATAAGACACAACGATGAAGATGATAGTTTGGTGTTATGGCATGATATGTTTATTTGCGTCTTGCCTTTGTCATGACGTGCTTGTTCGCATCCAACCTTAATAAAAATGCACAACTGTCTGTAAAGGCACAACGAAGGGAAGACGAACAAGTGTCTGATTCCATATATGACCAAGCATAACATTCCTTGCAAGGGCACAATATTTATAAACCACGCGCTTGCTAATTTATGTCATTTGATCTTCTTCAATTCAACGGCCAAAAATTGATAGAAGTGTGTGAAAGATAAAAAGAGGTGTGTGAATAGCACTACCCGTTCACAAATGCCACGCTTATCTTGTACAACCTTGCACGAAATCTGTGTGATGCCATCATCCCAGCACACTTTGATCAACTCCTTTCAACTCCCCCAATTCTCTATATAAGCTTCTCCAGCCCCAGACGCCAAACTCGCCATTGCTAACTTCAGAGATGGAGGATTAATTGAGATAACGAAAGATTTAGAGGTCGAGGATGGAGAAGCTCGTCAATTTAGTTACCAAGCTGAAGAAAATGGTGAGGTCCTTGTCAATTCTTGGGAACCTTGATCGCCAAGTTGGCATTGGAGGTTCGCCTCATGCTGTTTGCTGCGAGGAGCTTTTCTTGCCATCTAAAAGGGTGAAGGGCTGTCAAACAAGAAACAACGATGTTGATCCGTTTATAGCAACTCATGCTGCAGCCTAGAATTATTTTTTACTCTTAGACAAAACATTTATATTTGAGAGAGAGAGGTTCACCATTATTGATGCTAATGTACAATGTGAACAAAAGTCAGGTACTTGCATTCTCATCGCAGTGCATGCTCCATCCGAATGTGCAAATAATCATGTGATTTCGGTTTTGTAATTTATTTTTGATCGAGCAGTATTCTAATTTAATATCAACTAGGTTAATTTTAGTGCAGAAAGAGAGTACGTTGCCACTACGCCTACGTTTGCTTATGTTTTTGTATTTAATTTGTGTTTGTCAATCATACAATTAACCTCCAAGGCTTGCACATAGTAGCATTTGAAAATTAAGCATCTTCAATCTAGCCACTGCAATGCTATAGCTTCTGAGTCCAGCAGTAACTTTTCTCCAAAGTAGAAACAACAGCATATACAATATAGGAAAGCTCAAATATGTTGATGCATAAATGATAAATTATACACAATCAATGCCTTTCTTAAATCATCTCCGGAATTCAAATCCGACCCCCTATTTATGGTTTCTTTTTAAATAACTTCTAAATTTTGATGACAAGAAATGTCTTGCACCACAAGAAATCTCACATGTAGGAGATGCGTATTACTATAGCTTGTAAAGTTTGAATTTGTACGTAGCTCATATAGAATCTGTTAGTGTTTGTGTGATTTTGATATGTATTTCAATGGAGGACCTGTGCAAAGGACCAGAAAATGGTCGAGAGGAAGATGAAGGAAAATGCTTCTGAAATTTCACACACTAAACACGCATACATTTGTTACCGTTATACATGGAAGGAAGGGAGATCCTTCACTCTCCAACACACAATACAATCTCAACCATTCATTGGTATCATCCTATGAGATGATGCCACTTGTCTTATTCTATTACTTAAACTAGATACATCATTGAGTAACCATGTGGACTATGATCCAATGGCTCACATTCAAACTGAAATATAAAGCATGTAAGTTGATCTCTGCCGCCAATCTTTAGCTGAAGGGTTACATTCCAACAGAATCAGTAGTTCTTACAGTTCATGATAGTTCAGTTAACAATTAAATTCAGTGGGAGTTCTGACTCCTCATGAATTCAAGTCCTCCATGACAATTAAGGAATAGTAAACATGACATTAATGGAGCTTGAAGAAGGCCAGTAGAGGATCATACACAAGTTGATTGGCATTCGCGCTCATAATAAAATCCATATGAGCATAATCCTCTATGTACTCTACCACAAGCTTGTCCTTGTCATGATCTTTGAGGTTGTCAAGCAGAAGCCCCACGTCATTAACGTCAGAAAGCGCATCTCTGCCCCCGTAGCTGAGGAAAAGAGGAACGTCTTTCGGAATGTTTGCCATGTTGTACACAGGAGGAGTAGGCTGCTTGTAATGTTCCATGTTCGTGTCTTCGTTACCATAATTGTACATTTCTAGGGTTCCCATCCTGACCACTATCCAAAATCCATAAACCGATATGACCAAACATTAAAATTGTATGGATTAATATGCTGACTAGATAGGACTTCTGGGAACTTAGTGTTCCAGAATTCAAATATCACAACTTACATAACTTTCCATTAACTGATAAACCAAGAAATGAATGAGACTCACTCTGAGACAGATGTATCATGTTCTTTGTTGCCGTAGACTGGGGAAAATTCTTAAATAAAGCAGCCTTGCTTGCAGAACTGAGGCAGCAATTTGGGCCTATATATGGGTTGCGAAAAAGTAATTCATATTAAGTGTGAATGAAGAACCCTAACATTGTTACTATTGAGATTGTGAATCCCATGCATCGTGAAACTAAGGCCATGCATAACAGTTTAAATGATTTTTGGCCTCTCAACCTGTTATAGTTGCCAATAAGTCGGAGCAGTCGACGCCTGGTGTTTTGCAGATAAACTCCACAAGTTCTTGTGTCTCACTGTTGAGATTTTGAGAACAAAAAACTGTTATAGCTGTCATTTTTCAGAAATGTGTCATTTGTTAAAGAAAATATCTAAATTTCTTTAACCAAGTTTAATCTACTTTATGCTATTGTCGTCATGCTTGTGTCTTTATTATTACTAGTGAAGCAAAACTTCTTAAGTTGCTATCTCACCCGTTTGGAACTTCATGCATGCCCAACAATTTTAGTTTCTGTAAAATGAAAAAAGTCAACAGCTAGTCAGTTAATTCCATTTTTGCAACAGTGAATTTCTAAAATTCATATTTTTAAAACAAAAGAGTAGTCACTGAGTTGTGTTACTTCTGATAAAAATAAGTCCATAAGAATCCTTATAAACAGCGAGGACATCTGACCCAGGTAAGCGATTGGGGTAAGCAAAGCAGCCGATCTTAGCAAGTTTAACAGTTTTTCTTGGGAGAAAGCAGCGAGGGCAGTCAGAGTTCCCTATGAAATTCGTATGGTTAAAATATGTTAATCACAACTGAGTGGACAAAGAGGTGTACCCATGGAGTGGACGCTAGTATTGTCCAACTTTAGATATGAGCAAATTAGGTGAATATTTACCAAGGAATGCCCAACATAGTGTAAATTCTGTCCTGTTTGATTGTTCACATACTTGAATAAAGCCGGAAGATCATAAGCAGCTAATTCATCCCATGACCAGTCCCAGTAAGCCTACACGTTATAGAAGATTCAACAGATATGTTTCAGTAAAAGATTATGATCTGCAGATGGCATGATGTAATCAACATTTGACAAGGCAACGCTAACCGGATCATTAGGAGTAAGTGATGTGTGTCCGCGACTAGAACGTGTCGCGCGAGTGTTAGCAAGCCATACATCAAACCCATTGTCTGCCAAGATAAATGCCAAAGCTTGATCCGGCGGATTGAGTAGCCATGCTGAAGCATCCTGTTTTGTTCACACACAGTTGTTCTTTAATTAGTTCATGCATGTTTGTCTTCCACATGTGTAAGTGTATGCATATGCATGCTCACAGATATGGTGCTAAGGTGAAAACCATTAAGAGCCCATGTTGTAACAGAACAGGCTTCTTGTTTGGTGTTTCGTCACCAGACCGTCCCTTTGGAATTCTCTGCAAGCCGATGATGTAACCGTCTTCAGTTGTTACCTGAAACTCATCATAAATTTCATGAAAAAACACAATAAAAAAAATGATCTTTTTCGCATGACATAAGCTGAAAAAGTAAGGCATGCACTTTCTGATGCTTACTTTATGTTCTTGGCAAGTGTAGCCCTGTGTCTCCAACATTGATTTGCAAATGCCGCCATCGACATTTTCGATGGATTGCAGCTTAGTTCTTGTTGCTGCAACTACTGAAACCCAAAGTAGAGCCACAACAAGTATAATGGTCGAAGGATTTTCCATTTGAAGCTAAGGTGTCTGTGAGTGCAATAATTTTCCCCGGTTTTATTATTTATAGTAGACAAATGCATATAAAACAACCAAACAAACGTAACAGACTAGTATTTTTCAGTGTGAGTGAGTCACACCACCACTTGGTGTTACTAATCTACTTGTATTATAACACTTATATATTGAAACTATATCTTAAGTCTATGACATATCAATAATGTCGTTCACCCGTATTATAACATCTAAAATGATAAAATACATGGCGTTTGATGGTTTCTAAGCTTTTGTGAATGCCATGAGCTGATTGCGTCAGACATAATTAATGCATCAACTAGCATATGCCAAATCAAAAAGAAAATCTATGTCACGTCAAGAAATGACCATCATTTCAATAAAACAAAATTTCTGGCAACTAAAATTTGGTTTTTATAGATAATGATAACAAAATAAGTGGTTTGCAATGAAACTAAAATGTGTGGTTTTCTTTTGGTCACGCGCTTTGTTCCTGTCTATTATTGGATTTGGAGTTGAATAGTTTAAACTATTGACATTTTTACCAATATTCTTTTAGTCAGTATTAATGTTTGTTTGGGAAGTGATTTTCACATGCTTCCTTTAACCTCTCGCACACCAATATTAATTTAACCTCAACTATCGATTTGGTTTGACTTATTCAATCCGATGACCAAAACTAAAAAAAGGTGTGTGAGAAGCTAAAAATGATGTATGATTATCACTTCCCGTTATTTTTATGTATAGGTTTATGTTACACCAACTTTTGGAGGGGAAACGACCTCCAACATTTTCGGTTGGCAGGAAACGGGTATAATTTTCGGGGAAGGAAAGCGTCTGATATTCTACGGGTGCTTAAATATTGACAAAGTTGACTGCAAAATGTTGGATCATGCAAGTTAGGTATCAATTTTCTCTACTTTATTCTAAGATAAAAATCAAGTTACGACAATGAGAGTGAAAGAAACCAAGAAAAAAAAAAGCCTTCTAAAATTTAACAATTGCAAGAAAAAAGAACTACAAAAGTAGCTGAAGTCTCAATGGAGCTTGAAGAAATCCAGTAGTGGAGCATAGACAACTTGGTTGGCACTCTCAGCCATAAGAAAATCCATATGAGCGTACTCTGCTGTATATTGTGCCACCAGCTTGTCCTTGTCATGATCTCTGAGGTTGTCCAGCAAATACTTCACATCAAGCACGTTCGAAAGCGGGTCTCTCCCTCCATAGCTTAGGAATAGAGGAACGTCTTTTGGGATGTTTTCCATGTTGTACACAGGAGGAGTAGGCTGATTGTAGTGCTGAATGTTTATTGCTGGAAAAACATAATCGTACATTGCTATGTTTCCCTTTGTGACCACTTTCCAGCATCAAAGAAACAAAAAATTTGAAAGTTTGTCAGTACTGAATTTAACCAGAGTGGATATATATGAACTAAAAGTTTCAAAACGAATACTAGCTTTTTTTTCCTAATTTACTTTGGGAGAACGACTTCACAGGGTTGCATCATGACAGTGTTTGATTAGCTTGGGATACAGCTACGGTAACATGCCCAGTCTGGATAGCTTTCTTTCGTACTTCAGACACCTCGCAGTTATAATGCACCAATACTGAACCCGGAATTGAAGGAGACTTACTCTGAAACAGATGCATAGCATTCTTTGTTGAAGTGGACTGGGGCGTATGTTGAAGAAAAAAAATTTATGCTTGAAGAACCGAGGCTGCAATTTGGCCCTATCACAAATTTCAAGTTAGAAGGGTAAATGACAAAGACTAACATTGTGAAAAGGACTTTCATGCAACGGGCATCCTTGATGTGGGTAAGTTTCTCTATAACATGTTGTCACTACCTGTTGTAGCTGTGAGGTAGTTGGAGCAGCCACTGCCCGGTCTTGCACAGATATACTGCAGAATTTGCTGCACCTGCCTATTGGGATTTCGATGAGATCAGATAAAACTGGTTATCCAAGTATAAAATGAGCGATCAAGAATAAAATGGATTAAAATTTCAACCAACAAATTTCATTTTGCTTTGAATAAATCGTTACTTGAAGCACAAGAAATCCTCTTCATTTATACAATGAAAAAAATTACAAGACATACTTAAAATCTTCCCATACTTTTTTGTGCCAGATTGAATTTAACTCAGTGTATAGTCTGCATTTTTCTTTACAAATTATTTGAGCTGCAATCTCACCCGTTCGGAAATTCAAGGGAAAAGAAGAAAGCCGGTCCCTGATAAAGAAAATAGATAAAATTTTGGGTCAGTTTTCTATGTTCATCACATTGAATTTAGAAATCCATACATGAAAAACCAAAATGTTCATTGAATTGTGTTACTTGAGCTAAGAACGCATTGACAGCAGTTCGTGCAAAGGGTGAGCGCATCTGACCAAGATAAGCAATTGGGGCAAGCAATGCAGCTGATCTTAGTATGTTTACCAGTTTTCCTTGGGAGAAGGCAGCTAGGGGAGTTAAAGTTCCCTATGATTCAATACTTCCAAGTCTTAGTCATCAATTTTCTCTTTGTCAAAATTTTTTCTAAAACTATAAATTATGAACAAAGTACAAATTATTTACCAAGGAATGCCCGACATAGTGTAATTTCTGTCCTGTTTGATTGTTTACATACGCAAACAATGCAGGAAGATCATAAGCAGCCAATTGATCCCATGACCAGTCCCAGTAAGCCTACATTATTAGAAGAAAATACGTACTTTTAGCTTAATTAAGGTTATGATCTGCAAATGGCATGATGTAATAAGCATTTGAGAAGGCAAAGCGAACCGGATAAAGCGGAGTAAGTGTTTTGTGTCCACGGCTGGAGACTGTGCCGCGACTGTTGGCAAGCCATACATCGAAACCATTGTCTGCCAAGATAAACGCCAAAGCTTTGTCCGGCGAATTGAGTAGCCATGCTGAAGCATCCTGTTAATTACAAAAACGTAATTGTTTCTTAATTCGTTTGTACGCTACGTCACGTAAATGTGTATGCATGGTCAAATATAAGGTGCTAAATTAGGTATAAATTTACCGTAAGGATCCCGTCGTGTAACAAAACAGGCAGCTTAGCTGCTGTCTCATTACCTAGCAGACTTCCCAGCTGGCATCCTTTGCAAACCAAGGATGTAACCATCTTCTGTTGATCATCATCTCCATAAAATTAGTTAGTTTTTGACAATTGATGAAATGAGATCAACTGCCTGAAATGCTCTCAATCATTCTCTCACACAATGCCCTTATAATCATCAGCGACAATGACAGCTGCGAGATCAACCACCAACTCATTCTTGACGAAAATCACAATTCGTTAATTGATGCCCCGCCACCACCTCAGTGTCACCCCGAACGTTTGGGTGAGGATCGGTAACGTGATACTAATCTTTCCCTATTCCAATTTATTTATTTGTTTTTTGCTTTGAGTTTTTTCTTCGAGTGTTTTCTTCATACGTTACTTTATTTGAGTAACCACTATTAAATTCAAATATATTTAAATTTAAGTTTTAAATTGTTGATTCCAAGTGTTTAAATATGAGTTATAATATATTTTGCACGGCAAAATATATCTTGAAGAACATAAATATGATAGTTTGTTGTTATAGTAAGAGAAATAAAAGAAGAAAAAAACTAAAAAAGAAAAGAAATTTGAAAAGGAATGAATCGGTATGATATTAGGGATTTTAATATAATTTCAGCTGCCGCCTCCGTAGCGATAGTTCTATTGACAATCATAGTGAAATACCGAACGTATTCTTTTCTATTTTTTTATTTATTTATTTTCTACTTATTCTTTTTTCATTGAGCTTTTTGTTTCTTCCTACGTTACTTTGTTTATATTCAAATACCTTTAGATTTAGATTTATATCCTTGTTTTCGAGTGTTTTGACATAGACTATAAGAATATTTTCACCGAAAATACATTTTGTAGAACATGAAGAGGATAGTTTGGTGTTATGGTAAGAGATTTATTTTTTATTTTAGATATATAACAAAAATAGGACACAACGATGAAGATGAAAGTTTTTTTTTTTTTTTTTTGGGAAATGATGAAGATGATGGTTTGGTGTTATGGCATGATATTTTTACTTGTGCCTTGCCTTTGTCATGCCGTGCTTGTTCGCGTCTAACCTTCATAAAAATCCACAATTGCCTGTAAAGGCACAACAAGGGGAAGGCACGAACAAGTGTCTGATTCCATGTATGACCAAAGCATAACATTCCTTGAAAATGCACAATATTTATAAACCACACGCTTACTAATTTATGTCATTTGATCTTCTTCAATTTATTCAATTTAACGACAAAAATTTGAAAGGAGTGTGTGAATGATTAAAAGAGGTATGTGGATAGCACCACCCATTCACAAATGCCACGCTTATCTTGTACAACCTTGCACGAAATCCGTGTAATGCCATCATGCCAGCACAATTTGATCAACTCCTTTCAACTCCCCCTATTCTCTATATAAGCTTCTCCAGCCCCAGACGCCAAACCCGCCATCGCTAACTTCAAAGATCCAGGATTTGTGATAACGAAAGATTTAGAGGTCGAGGATGGAGAAGCTCATCAATTCAGTTACCAAGCTGAAGAAAATGATGAGGTCCTTGTCAGTTCGTGGGAACCTTATCGCCAAGTTAGCATTGGAGGTTTGCCTTGTGCTGTTTACTGCGAGGAGCTTTTTTTGCCATCTTAAAGGGTGAAGGGCTGTTGAACAAGAAACAACTCATGCTGCACCTGGAATCATTTTACTCTTAGACAAAACATTTATATTTGAGAGAGAGAGGTTCACCATTGATGCTAATATACAATGTGAACAAAAGTCAGGTGCTTGCATTCTCATTGAGAGCATGCTCCATATATCCGGATGTGCAAATAATCATGTGATTTCGGTTTTGTAATTTTTATTTGGTCGAGCAATATCATAATTTAATATAAACTACGGTAACTTTAGTGCAGAAAGAGGGTACGTTGCCACGTGGCTACGCCTCCGTTTGCTTATGTTTTTGTATTTAATTTGTGTTTGTCAATCATACAATTAACCTCCAAGGCTTACACATAGTAGCATTTGAAAATTAAGCATCTTCAACCTAACGACTGCAATGCCGTAGCTTCTGAGTCCAGCAGAAACTTTTCTCCAAAGTAGAAACAACTGCATACCAGGCTTAAAATATAGGAAAGCTCATATATGTAGATGCATAAATGATAAATTATACACAATCAATGCCTTTCTTAAATCATCTCCGGAATTCAAATCCGAACCCCTATTTATGGTTTCTTTTTAAATAACTTCTAAATTTTGATAATATATTTTAAATCCGAACCACAAGAAATCTCACATGTAGGATGCGTATTACTATAGCTTGTAAAGTTTGAAATTGTACGCAGCTCATATAGAATCCATATTGTTCCTACTCCAGTTCCAGATAGTTCGGTAAACAATTAATTAACTTCTGTGGGAGTTCTAACTCCTCATGAATTCAAATCCTCCATAACAATTACGGACTAGTAAACATGACATTAATGGAGCTTGAAGAAGGCCAGTAGAGGATCATACACAAGTTGATTGGCATTCACACTCATAATAAAATCCAAATGAGCATAATCCTCTCTGTACTCTACCACAAGCTTGTCCTTGTCATGATCTTTGAGGTTGTCAAGCAGAAGCTCCACGTCATTAACGTCAGAAAGCGCATCTCTCCCCCCGTAGCTGAGGAAAAGAGGAACGTCTTTCGGAATGTTTGCCATGTACACAGGAGGAGTAGGCTGCTTGTAGTGTTCCATGTTCGTGTCTTCGTTACCATAATCGTACATTTCTAGGGTTCCCATCCTGAGCACTATCCAAAATCCATAAACCGATATGACCAAACATTAAAATTGTAAGAATTAATTTGTTAATTAGAAAGGACTACTGGGAACTTAGTGTTCCCGAATTCAAATATTACAACTTATATAACTTGCCATTACTGATAAACCTAGAAATGAATGAGACTCACTCTGAGACAAATGTATTATGTTCTTATTCGCCGTAGACCGGGGGAAGTTCTTAAATAAAGCAGCCTTGCTTGCAGAACTGAGGCAACAATTTGGGCCTGTATATGGGTTGCAAAAAACTAATTCATAACCCTAAAATTGTTACTATTGAGATTGTGAATCCCACGTGAAATTAAAGCCCTGCATAACAGTTTAAATGATTTTTGGCCTCATAACCTGTTATAGTTTCAAATAAGTCGGTGCATTCTACGCCTGGTGTATTGCAGATAAAGTCCACAAGTTCTTTTGTCTCACTGTTGAGATTTTGAGAACAAAAAACTGCTTTAGATGTCATTTTTCACGTGTCATTTGTTAAACAAAATATCTAAAAAAAATTTACCAAGTTTAAGCAAGTTTATGCTATTGTCTGCGTGCATGTGTCTTTATTACTACTGAAGCAAAACTGCCTAGGTTGATCTCACCTGTTTGGAACTTCATGCAAACCCAACAATTTCTGTTTCTATAAAATAAAAAAAGATAACAGTTTCGTCAGTTTGTTCCATTTTTGCAACAGTGAATTTCTAAAATTCATATTTTTAAAACAAAAGAGCAGTCACTGAGTTGTGTTACTTCTGCTAAAAATAAGTCCACAAAAATCCTTATAAACAGCGAGGACATCTGACCCAGGTAAGCGATTGGGCTAAGCAAAGCAGCCGATCTTAGCAAGTTCAACAGTTTTTCTTGGGAGAAGGCGGCGAGGGCAGTCAGAGTTCCCTATGAAACTCGTATGGTTAAAATATGTTAATCAAAACTGAGTGGACAAAGAGGTGTAACTGTGGAGTACACTTTCTGATGCTTACTTTATGTTCTTGGCAAGTATAGCCCTGTGTCTCGAACATTGATTTGCAAATGCCGCCATCGACATTTTCGATGGATTGCAGCTTAGTTCTTGTTGCTGCAACTACTGAAACCCAAAGTAGAGCCACAACAAGTATAATGGTCGAAGGATTTTCCATTTGAAGCTAAGGTGTCTGTGAGTGCAATAATTTTCACAGGTTTTATTATTTATTGTAGACAGATGCATATAAAACAACCAAACAAACGTAACAGACTAGTATTTTTCAGTGTGAGTCATACCACCACTTGGTGTTACTAATCTACTCGTATTAAACACTAATATATTGAAACTATATTTCAGGTTCATGACATATCAATACTATCGTTCACCCGTATTATAACATCTAAAATTATAACATACATGGCGTTTGATGGTTTCTAAGCTTTTGTGAATGACATGAGCTGATTGCGTCAGACATAATGAATCAACTAGTATATGCCAAATCAAAAAGAAAATCTATGTCACGTCAAGAAATGACCATAATTTCAATAATACAAAATTTCTGGCAACTAAAAATTGGTGTTTATAGATAATGATAACAAAATAAGTGGTTTGCAATGAAACTAAAATGTGTGGTTTTCTTTTGGTCACGCTTTGTCCCTGTCTATTGGATTTGGAGTTGAATAGTTTAAACTCTTGACATTTTTACCAATATTCTTTTAGTCAGGATTAGTGTTTGTTTGGGAAGTGATTTTCACATAGTTCCCTTAACCCCTTGCACACCAATATTAATTTAATCTCGACTATCGATTTGGTTTGACTTATTCAATCCGATGACCAAAACTAAAAAGAGGTGTGCGAGAAGCTAAAAATGATGTATGAATATCACTTCCCATTATTTTTATGTATAGGCTTATGTTACATCAACTTTTGGAGGGGAAACGGCCTCCAACATTTACGGTTGGTAGGAAACGGGTATAATTTTCGGGGAAGGAAAGCGTCTGATATTCTACGGGTGCTTAAATTGACAAAGTTGACTGCAAAATGTTGGATCATGCAAGTTAGGTATCAATTTTCTCTACTTTATTCTAAGATAAAAATCGAGTTATGACAATGAGAGTGAAAGAAACCAAGAAAAAAAAAAACCTTCTAAAATTTAACACTTGCAAGAAAAAAGAATTACAAAAGTAGCTAAAGTCTCAATGGAGCTTGAAGAAATCCAGTAGGGGAGCATAGACAACTTGGTTGGCACTCTCAGCCATAAGAAAATCCATATGAGCGTACTCTGCTGTATATTGTGCCACCAGCTTGTCCTTGTCATGATCTCTGAGGTTGTCCAGCAAATACTTCACATCAAGCACGTTCGAAAGCGGGTCTCTCCCTCCATAGCTTAGGAATAGAGGAACGTCTTTTGGGATGTTTTCCATGTTGTACACAGGAGGAGTAGGCTGATTGTAGTGCTGAATGTTTATTGCTGGAAAAACATAATCGTACATTGCTATGTTTCCCTTTGTGACCACTTTCCAGCATCAACAAGAAACAAAAAATTTGAAAGTCTGTTAGTATTGAATTTAACCAGAGGGGATATATATGAACTAAAAGTTTCAAAACGAATACTAGCTTTTTTTTTCCTAGTTTACTTTGGGAGAACGACTTCATAGGGTTGCATCATGACAGTGTTTGATCAACTTGGGATACAGTTACGGTAACATGCCCAGTCTGGATAGCTTTCTTTCGTACTTTAGACACTTCGCAGTTACAATTCACCAATACCGAACCCAGAATTGAAAGAGACTTACTCTGAAACAGATGCATAGCATTCTTTGTCGAAGTGGACTGGGGCGTATGTTGAAGAAAAAGATTTATGCTTGAAGAACCGAGGCAGCAATTTGGCCCTATAACAAATTTCAAGTTAGAAGGGTAAATGACAAAGACTAACATTGTGGAAAGGACATTCATGCAACGGGCATCCTTGATGTGGGTAAGTTTCCCTATAACATATTGTCACTACCTGTTGTAGCTGTGAGGTAGTTGGAGCAGCCACTGCCCGGTCTTGCGCAGATATACTGCAGAATTTGCTGCACCTGCCTATTGGGATTTCGATGAGATAAGATAAAACTTGTTATCGAAGTATAAAATGAGCGATCAAGAATAAAATGGATTCAAATTTCAACCAACAAATTTCGAAGCACAAGAAATCCTCTTCATTTATGCAATGAAAAAATTACAAGACATACTTAAAATCTTCCCATACTTTTTTGCGCCAGATTGAATTTAACTCAGTGTATAGTCTGCATTTTTCTTTACAAATTATTTGAGCTGCAATCTCACCTGTTCGGAAATTCAAGGGAAAAGAAGAAAGGCGGTCCCTGATAAAGAAAATAGATAAAATTTTGGGTCAGTTTTCTATGTTCATCACATTGAATTTAGAAATCCATACATGAAAAACCAAAAAGTTCATTGAATTGTGTTACTTGAGCTAAGAACGCATCGACAGCAGTTCGTGCAAAGGGTGAGCGCATCTGACCAAGATAAGCAATTGGGGCAAGCAATGCAGCTGATCTTAGCATGTTTACCAGTTTTCCTTGGGAGAAGGCAGCTAGGGGAGTTAAAGTTCCCTATGATTCAATACTTCCAAGTCTCAGTCATCGATTTTCTCTGTGCCGAAATTTTTTCTAAAACTATAAATTATGAACAAAGTACAAATTATTTACCAAGGAATGCCCAACATAGTGTAATTTCTGTCCTGTTTGATTGTTTACATACGCAAACAATGCAGGAAGATCATAAGCAGCCAATTGATCCCATGACCAGTCCCAGTAAGCCTACATTATTAGAAGAAAATACATAGTTTTAGTTTAATTATGGTTATGATCTGCAAATGGCATGATGTAATTCGCATCTGAGAAGGCAAAGCGAACCGGATAAAGCGGAGTAAGTGTTTTGTGTCCACGGCTGGAGACTGTGCCGCGACTGTTGGCAAGCCATACATCGAAACCATTGTCTGCCAAGATAAACGCCAAAGCTTTGTCCGGCGAATTGAGTAGCCATGCTGAAGCATCCTGTTAATTACAAAAACATAATTGTTTCTTAATTCGTTTGTACGCTACGTCACGTAAATGTGTATGCATGGTCAAATATAAGGTGCTAAATTCGGTATAAATTTACCATAAGGATCCCGTGGTGTAACAAAACAGGCAGCTTAGTTGCTGTCTCATTACCAGCAGACTTCCCAGCTGGAATCCTTTGCAAACCAAGGATGTAACCATCTTCTGTTGTTACCTTCGAAATTACCAGGACGAAAGATTAACAACATTTAATTAGTTAATGCGAAAGAGTGATGTATAAAACCCAAAAAAGAAAGGCTCGAAATTTTGACACTTGATCATTACTTTATGTTCTTGGCAAGGGTAGCCTTGTGTCTCCACCAGCGATTTGCAAATGCCGCCGTCGACATTGCCGATTGATTGCGGCTTAGTTCTTGCAGCTGAAACACAAAGTAGAGCTACAAAAAGAAAAATGCTGAAAGAGTTGGCCATTTGGAGCTGAGTTGTGTAGTTTCTGAGTGCAACAAAATCAGGGTTTGCTTTTTATAGTGAACAAATCCATAACACAACGGATGAAGCCATTAATTAAAAGAAATATTTATGATGATTTCTCATGAAAGTAATATTTCATAAGAGTTGACCTCCCGAACCTCAACTGGTGGTGACTGGTCAGACCTTGACATATTTTCCTGAAAAATAGAATGTGTGTAATTCCTAATAAATGCAATTTCTACGTTTCATTTGTACATGTAAATGTAGGGACTCGCTACAGTTCATGTATTTACTTAACACATTTACCATATATTAATTATTAAGTAAATCCATGTATTGTAAATTTGTAGTTAAGTCCGTATACTATGATTTATTAATTTAGGATACAACTCTCATTTCCTTGTCAACGCGCAAGAAAACTGTTAATAAAAAGTGTTGGTATGTCCACTTGCCTACCTTTATTGTTGCTCGCACCTTATAAAACAATACAAATAACAAATTAATATAAAGTAAACGAAAAAAATAAGACAGGTGAGTGAGCACAGTATTTGCCGTCTTTGGCAAAGTACACCCACATTGGAATCGGTCATGAAAACGTAATAGTAACCCACAAACTTACATTTTCCTACCGGTTTATGGTAGTAGTGTTTCTAAATGGGTGAAATATATGTTGCTTGGGGTCCCCAACGGCCAACGTCCTTTTACAAGTATTTTTTAGGGTACGAAACTGCACTTCTTTCAGAACCTCCGCGCCTTGCACTAAGTAACCTTTCCCGTCATTGGATTTAGCAGATGCAAAGTCTAAGGATGACATTACAATTACTGGTTCTGATGAGAAGATTCCAATCTGTTGTTAGTGACGTGGGTGAATTCTTGAGATGGAAGACGGGGGGTGCCCCTACTTAGGGTTGCGGATTTCTCTTACTTTAAGAAAGAAGTTAGCACCTTCGTGAATCAAGGAAAAAATGCTCAGGAAATCGTTGCGAGTGCAGTCATCCACCTTCACTCCTCCTTCGTCGGCGTCCTTGTAACCTACATTACTCACTTCGTTCAGTAAAAGGGCTGATTTCATGTGATTCTGAAACCATGGCGAAATCATCTTCTTCACAGATGATTCCATGGCTGGATTACAGCCATTCTTCTTCAAAGCAGATGTCGTGGCTGGATTACTGTTACTAGTCAAGAGGTGGATTGATGCAAAGGAGGAATCAAGGCAGCTGTGACCCGTCCCGTGACGGCATGTTTACTTACAAAGAATGAGTATCTAAATTATTCTCGATTTTTAACTTCCCTTGGTTTTACCCGTGAATTAGATTGGTTAGAGTAGTTAATCCGATATATTCACTCATTCTCATTGATATTCCTGACTTTTCCGATTCACGATTTCCCTTAATAACACGCAACCGTGTAGAGAATCTAGAGATATATAGATAATAAGGCATTGAGTTTTGATCTAGACAAACTACGGTAAAGGTACAAAGGAACCATAAAAATGGTAGTAATTATACGAATTTTGTTGGTAAAAGGAAGATCCAGTACACAGTACGGGTAAATACAACTCTGCCCTCAGGGTTGTCAATGAGAAATATGATGAGGGAAAAGAAAAGAACATAAAAGAATTGGCATTACTTCTGTCACAAGTAAATATTCTCATTGAAGTCTAAGGAAAGCCATGAGAGGATCATACACATCTTGCTTAGCAGTTTCACCCATCACAAAATCTAAATGAGCGTAATCGTCTAGATACTGAAGCACAAGCTTATCTCCATCATGGTTTTTGAGGCTCTTCAGCAGCAGCTTCACATCTTTGATGTCGGAGAGGGCATCTGCCCCACCGTAACTGAGGAAGAGAGGAAGCTCATCTGGAATGCTTGTCATGCTGTACACGGGAGGATTGGGCTGCCCGTAGTGCTGCATGTTCTCGTCCTTGTAGTCAAACATTGCAACTGTTCCGTCCCTTATCACTGTTGAGAAATCGCAGGATTGAATTCGAGTTAATTTATTATGGTTTCAATTTAAGCGTTGCAAAGGAGTTCGTAGCATTCAAAGGACTGGTGGTTTGTGAATGAGAAATTAAGAACTTACTCTGGGACATATGTACCAAGTTTTTGGTTGAAGTTGACTGAGGCTCATGGTCTAGAAGAACATCTACTATGGAAGAATTTAAGCAGCAATTTTTCCCTTCATTTTCCAAAAGTTTCCAAGTCAGTACATAGAAGAATGATTGAAATGGTAGTAAGAATCTTAGGAACATATGCATTACCGGTGAATGCAGTCAACCAATGGGTGCAATCAACGCCTGGTTTCCGGCAAACAGCCTTCAGAACTTCGACTGCCGCCTTCCTATTCAGTTCAGGCAACAAAAATAAACAATAGCATGCAAGTTCTGATCTTATAATTGGGAGTTTAAGGTGAATGCTAGATTGCGAATTACAAGGAACAAGTGAATAAGAATCGTTACCGTTTCAGATTAAATTGTCTTAAATCTGCATTGTATAATGCCTGTTAATAGAAGATAATAGGTTGTCAAAGAGTTGAATTCTGTTAGGAGACTAAAACAGCTAGAAAAAAGGAATTTCTATTTACCTCGGCAATAAAGTTTTCAGCAACAGCTCTTGCTAGGGGTGAGGACATTTGGTCAGCATAAGCAATCGGACTAAGTAAGACGGCTGATCTCAGGTTCTTCAGTTGCAGGTCTTTGGAAATTGCAGCGAGAGCAACCAATGTTCCCTGCAAAATAAATCCGTCGCTTGCTGTGTTTATACTTTAAAACTCCGCCAAAAGTTTAATACACTTTTTAAAATGTTTGCAGAAGAGAAGAAAGCTGCTGAGTCTGAAATTCACCAGCGAATGTCCAATATAATGAATTTTCTGTCTGGTTTGATCTCGCACATACTGGAAAGTAGCCGGGAGATCATAAGCGACAAGTTCATCCCATGACCATTCCCAATAAGCCTGAAAATGAGCAAAGTGACTCTAATGTGAAATACAAGATGGTGATTGTGTTTTTTTGAGTATTTTCATGTTGTTAGATGCAACCAAACAAAAATTTGCAACAAACATGAGATTCAGGAGAACAAGAGTAGTTACCGGATCATCAGGACTGAGTGATGTGTGACCGAGGCTGTATTTGGTTCCGCGGGTGTTTCCAATCCACACCTCATACCCGTTGTCAGCTAAGAGGAAAGCCAAAGATTGGCCTGGACGTAGCAGCACCCATGTTATCCCATCCTGCCCATTAAACCACATAAACAAAGTGTTACATTTTCCCAATTTACTGAACCTACTGAAAAGAACTGCACAGAATTACTGACCATCAGAAGACCGTGTTGCAGAAGTACCGGTACCCTCTTCCCTGACAGCCCCCCTGACTTCCCCGCTGGAATTCTCTGCATGCTGAGAATATATCCATCTTGTGTTGTCACCTACACAACCCAAAAATGCAACCAAGTCACTTCAGTCAATGTTTGCCAGTGACTCGAAATTATTGACAAACAGAAGAGCGAAAAAAAATTTAGGCATGTCACCGTGTGTTCTTCACAAGCATAGCCTTGTGTTGCCACCATTGTTGCACAGATTCCGTCATCACCTGGAGACGGAGCGAATGCAGAAGCAGCATCCTGCACATTATTAGCCGAGAACAACTTTGTTCTGGTTCCAACTGCTGACTCACAGAAAAGCATAACTACAATAATAAAGGTTAAAATCTTATTAGCCAACATCTTCATATGTTTAATAATTGTTTCCTGGTACAAATCACCTTTTGAGGTTCCCGGCATTTTTATAGTGCAGAAAAAAACCAGATAAAAACAGAACTGGGGTGTTCACATGAGCTAATAGCCTAATACAAATTGCTTAATGGATTAAACTAAGGTTCAACTAAGGCATCTAATGCTGATGGGTCCTACTTTTCACTAATTAAAAGCAATTAAGAAATGTATTAACCTCAGATTTCGTCCCTGCCACGATTCCATAACTTAACAAGAATTTCCTGGATAAATCCAAACTCTAATCCAAGTATGTAAAACCAAAACATGGACATGTTGTCACTGTTCCTTTTGTCTAATTTGTAAAAGACGAAGGCGTACTTCCAATGAAGCCGCAGAAAGTAGTACATTTACGGATGTAAACTACCAAACCAACAAGAGCTCCAACACTTTTTCCCGGTTTGGCCAACCAGAGTAAGAAACCTCGAACGGTTTATTTCGCGGGGAAAAACTTTGGTGTACTGGTTGTATGCACCAGTTCTTTGTCTCTCCAATGAGGAGACACAACAAAACGAGTGTATACAACCAGGATCGACAAGTTTTTCTCCAATTCGAAGCATCCATTCTCTGCATAAACCACGGATACCTGTATCAAACTCGCTGTTAACATACCATGGTTTCTTAAGCAAAGTGTTTCTTTCCTCATCTGACATTTCTCAAATAGTTTTTCATGTGCAATAACTAGGAAAAAAATTAGATTCAGTGACATGATTCACAATAAGAAGGACAATGATGAATCCAATTCCTTCATACGATTATGATAATTCGATTTTCACATTCCAATAAGTACCGGTACAAAAATCAACCTTGGTATAAAATTATATCAACAATCTGTTTTCCATCAGGATTTCTCAGCAAACAAAAACCTACCATGATGCTTGCTTGCTAACAAGATTGATAGGATCCTCCAAATTATGTGAGGTACGAGTGTCCTTTATCTTTTCCGATGTTTTGACAGGATTATCTTCTGTTCTCGGTCTGGTTAGCGGTCTTCTGAGAAATTGGAATTGCCACGCTTTAGGTTCTATCCGCCTAAGCAGTGGCCACCTTTTCGGTTTAATTTGCCCTAGCAATTTCATCTGCTCCCTTCTGAACTTCCTATTTGCATACCACCTTCCACCTCGCCAACCCAAAGCGTAGCTGCAGTTCGGTTATAATGGTGTAAGTGTATAATGCATGAACAGTTTGATATTTGTAGTTTCATAACCAGAAAAGCAGGAATTATATTTCGGACATGGATATTAAAATTTAAAAGTACAAACCCGATAACTAAAGTGGTTCCCGCAGTAGCTATGCATGAAGGAAGACCAATAGTTCCAGAATCCATGATGTTTCTGATTTCCGACTGTTCCAGATTATGATTGTTTTTCATCTGCCACAAAAACAGAAACAGATATCCAATTGTAACAAACATTGACAGATAATTAAGAAGGGGCCTTAATCTAACCAGCAATAGCATTAACCAAAATTTAATTAGAAAAATTGAGTGACCCTTGCTCACATGATGCCTCATCTCACTGTCAAAATCGTTAACATAAATAGGATGAAAACAAGAATACAAGACATGGATAATAGTATTGTCGTTTTCTTTTCCTTTCAATGAGACTTTGTCCTTACCACTTCTTCAATTGATTCGAGCCTTTGATCAACTCTTGATTCATGTAGGTGACGTAAAGTATATCCTGCACCCACAACAGATGAGTATTAGTCTATTAGATAAGAAAATGTTTTCTAACATATTACTGAGAGAGACAACAGTAATAAGGTTAAACCAAAACTTTCGAACCTTAATGCATTAGTGAACCAAACTCTTTATATTACAACGAATCTTTACTTAGAAGTAAACAATTTAGTCAAAGAGCAACGTAAACCACAAATGATTATATCATAACTTCAAAAGTTTAGCACCTCACAAAATCTAGAACTAGAACGATTGTGTTTTTCAAATTTACATCCTACACTATATCTAAAATAAATTGTCTGTGTTTACCCCAACTTATACTTCGGATTACAAAACATATAATGTGCTCTAAAATTTGCACATTATACCTTACAACTTATTGGACTAAGATGCGAATGCAATGAGTTTGTAGGGTAAAGTACAGGTGAGCAAATTGCAGGTTACATATATATGCCTTAGCTTGAATCAAGATTTCAAACAAATTATACTGCATCCACCGTCTGCGAATATTTCAACCCGCAATTGAAGTGGAGTGCCAAATGCCACTCCAATTACGATATAGTTAGCTGAACTTATATTCATCACAATAAATTTGTTGCAAAATACTAATAATTTGCTCACACCCTTTATCAATTTGAAGATTAATGGATGATAATAACCAAACACTCATGCAGAAAGCAATGCAAAATTGAGAAATTAAAGAGCTGCCAAACAAGAACTCACCAAACCATGCTGTGGCGACTGATGCAATAGAAGTTCCAACTGTAAATACAACCTTATGACTTTCAAATATATCCTAAAAGCATTCACCAAAAAAAAACAAAAAACCCATCAAAATTAAACACAACCCATGAAAAAGCAATCCAACGCACAACCTCAAACTCTCAGAAACCCCCAAAAATGTGAAAGAAAATCGAAAAGCAAGCACCTTTGTCGAAAAATAAGTGTCCTGAACGGCACCCCATGATCTGAAAGCTTTCTTCCTCAACTGGGTTATGGCCTGAGAGCACGAAAGTAAGGACCCCGAGCTTCTAAGGCGCTGCATGGCGCATTCCAGGGATGCCCACCGCGGAGTTTCTGGGAGGGAAAAATGGAGGCAAAAGTTTGAAGCTGCTGCTCCTTTTGTTGCATTTTTGTGTGTTTTGTGTACTTTATTGGTCAGATCAGATGGGATTCCGTAGAGTTCACAGCTTGGAGAAATTTTTCAATATAACGGTATAAACCACTTTCATTATACAAATGATTGAATATATAGGTTCAAATATTAATAACTTAAAAAGTAAAATTTTTCACAATTTCAATTAAAATACTTGGTGTACCATTTATTCTGTCATAATTAAAATTTTCCCTATAACATAGGAAAAAAGCAAAACCAGTAGGACTTGGGCTCGAAAGTTTAGAAGATTTACAAGATTCGGTCTGGGGTGGGATATTGACCCTTGTCAAGCCCAATTTGTTTGTTTAACCACAACCAGAGGGCAACTTGAATCCAATTCATGTCTCAACACAAGGGAATTGTAGCTTAAATAGTGATATTGACTTGTTAGTACACATCGGTTGTATTTCTTATTTTGAATTAAACTTAAAATATTTTTAAATTAAGTGAAAATTAAGTGCCGTTAAACAAATCAATTATTTGTCGGTAAAATAATAGTTATGCTTGGGTAAAATTCATGCGTGTAAATAAGATTGCAAACTTGCGAGCTTTACTACACTTGGTACCATCAATGGCCAACTGAAAGTACATGTAAAAAGTGGAAAACTGAAAAAAAATAAGAACAAGAAGTCTCTAACAAACAAACCTTGGCTGCTTAAAAAAAAAAAAAAAAAAAAAAAAAAAAAAAACCAAGAGCTCTTGCTCTCATCCAATAACAACTTAACAAGTGTCAGTGTTAGTTAAAGTTTTAATTTTTCAATTTTTTGGACACTTTGTCGAGTTGTTATTGAAGGAGAGCAGGAGCTCTGCTAAATTGGCCTAAATTTATTTTTTTGCACAAATGATATTATCTACATCAAGAGGTTAGAGAATGGGTAAAGCCTCACAATGAATCAGTCATAATAATGTAGTTCAAATTCATATATAACGAGAATCGAATATAAGATTTCTCACTTACAAATAAAAAAGAATATCAATATATCATAATACTAAAAAACAAGTTGGCCTAAATTTTAAACTCACTACATATGTGATTTGCATTAAAAATATTGACTACAAGAAGCCAAACAACGTCCCGATCAAAAACTCCGCACTGTGGGGGCTCTCGACCACGCGGCAAGTGAAGAGAGGACAAGCGCAAACCAAATCACGCGGGGAATGCTTCTAAAATAAGCTTTGGGTGCGTAGAAAGTTAGAAACGCACCGTGGCCTTGTTTGGTTTTCGGCTTCCGCAGCGTTTTCGATTGCATTGGGATTGCCGCCAGCGCACGTTAGCAGCCAGGCCCCAATGTCATCAAGGACCATATCCAAGTGTCCAAACTCTGTTTGTTGTACATTTTCTATTCATCCATAATCCAATTAAGGCATATCTTAAAAAGAAAATACAGGCATTTCTCGTTGCAAACAAATTATAATTTAACATGTGTGAAAAGTCTTTCTTTTTGTGAATGTTAATGTGTCAGACTATATTTTTTTAATCAACGAGCATCTACTCCTTACACGTAAGAAGTCAAGCCGTGCTCTATCTAACAAGAATTTTGCAATATGGGTCACAAAACCAACACATTTTTCACATCCAAATAAAGCATCATTCAGTGAGCCAAAATGGGGAAAATTGTATCATCCAGATTTAAGAAAACCAAAAAACAGTTTGAAAGATGGAGATAGTGAAAAAACAAAAAAGGGCAACTTACAATTTTCCACCTGCATTTTATTCACCACTACCCAAGTTTTTTTGCTCACCAAATCAATCTCCAAAGAACCCTAAATGCCACTCCGCAGATTCACAGACTCTATCCAAAATACTCCCTACAAGCATATTTCACCCCCATCCCCCACCCACCCCCACCACCAAAGCAAAAATTTCTGGCTAGTTTTAACCAGACTGGTCTTGTACAGGTTCCGAGGATGTTGGAGAAGGTGACATGGAACCCACTTGTTCCGGGGAATCTTCTGAAATCTTTGTATCAGAGTTTTCATATCTGTTGCTCGCCGGTTTTTTGGCTCCATCGGTGAGTTTTGATGGTATGGAGGGGGATGTCTCTAGTCCATGAGCCACTGACCAGCCTCTTGGATAACTTATGAGAGATGAATCGAGCATGGGCAATGCCTGCATTCCGAAATTATAGCTAGCAGATTGTTCCATGAAGGGATGATCAAATCGGCAAGTTGGTCCGTACTTGCAGATTCCATACATAAGGTAGTATGAGCATACAGGTTGCCCCTGCACATACCCAAACATTAGCACGAGGCTCGTTAAATGAACAAAAGGAGTAATGGTAGAAGAAACATTGAAGCGTTCTCTTAATAGTTTATAAGAACTCAGCTGAACACTGCACTGACTGACGTAGGTATCACTGTGAACTAGAAACAGAACTTACAGGTCTCGAGGGAAGCCCGAGTGGGGTTGTAGCAGATTCTGCAATCCTTTCTTTTGGGTGGTGGTACTTGCAATCTATGCCATATTTGCAAGTCCCAGTGCTCATAAAGTACCGGCATTCAGGTTGATCAGGCCTCTGGGGGAAACTTGGACTTGACAAGTGAACCTGCCCGTTGGAAGCTGACTCCCCCCGAGTACTAGAGTTGTATGTGAGGTTGGATCCAAGAATACCAGTGGAAGATACAGGGCTCAGGTTTCCCTATTAAACAGATAAAAGCATAATTAAACACAAACAAACATTTAATGCACCAAAACCTCTTTAGTCCACTGTAAATCAACTGAAATCAACA